CTTCCTTCCTTCCTTCCTTCCTTCCTTCCTTCCTTCCTTCCTTCCTTTCTCACTTTCTCATTTGGTTCTGAAATCATAGTAGTCAATGCAAGTTGATTATGGTCAAATTGGTTAGAAGTACTACTAATGGGGAAAAGTGAAGCCACACTCTTAATACATGTACTAGCACACACATTTCCTTTTCTAGTATTTGAATGAAGTGGGAGGAAATTTGATGCCACCTTGTTTATCTCACTCTCTTTGTAAACCAGTAAAGGGAAGGGTGCCTGGGTGGCTTAGTCGAGTGTGGGTCCAACTCTTGGTTTCGGCTTAGGTGGTGATCTCGGGGTCTTGGGATTGAGCCCTGCATCAGGTTCCATGTTCAGCTGGGAGTCTGCTTGAGATTCTCTCTCCTTCTGCCCCTCCCCCCTTTCGCACACACCCATGTACTCTGTCTCTCAAATCAATCAATCAGTCTTTTTTTTTTTTAAGCCCATTAAATAGGATAGTATTCTGTATTTTTTTCTTAACATTATGCAGTTCTCAGCTGTTTCACATTAAAACTTGAAAAACATAAATGATACTCAAAATTTTCATTAGAAAAATAAATAAATAAAATCAAGTTGAAGACTGCATAGAAATAGGAGGAGTATTTTGCTGTAGTGTTAGGTGAAAACGCATATACCATATTGCACCCTGCTGCTATTTTCACTTTCTGACACACATGCATTTGTACAAGAAATGGAAGGGAGTGAGCAAACGCTAAAATTCTTTTTTTTTTAAGATAAAATTCTTTAAGGAAGTGAGTTTGTGGATTTTTTTTATTTTAAAAATTTTTAAAACTTTTATTTATACTCTTATTTTTTTAATAAGGGGAAGATTAGAACTACATCTATGTTTGGATATTAAGAATGTTATTGAGCAAAAGTTGCATATCACACATTGTAATTATATCTCCATATTCTGTATTTCCTTTTATGCCTTAGGTATCTGTTGTTTCTGGCTAGAAGAATTTTACAATTTCTTCAAAGTTCAGCTTTACCTACTCCTCACACGGTGATTCCTTCTTTAGGTTTCTCATACTACACTTTGCACATACATGTATCTTAGTACTTATTAGCTAGTTGTATATGTGTTAGACTTCACTACAGCCTGGGACATTGAAGAAAATGCAGACTCTGGAGCTAGAATGATCTGGATCCAAGTCCTTGTTCTGTCACTTAACTAATTTTATGACCATAAGCATATGCTTAGCTTCTCTGAGCCTGAGCCCTCATTCTAAATTGGAGCCAGTACTACCTACTTTATAAGAATATGGGGAAGATTATAGCAACATCTGTATGTAAAGAGGCTACACCCTCTGGTGGGTGTTCAGTAATTTCTTCTTGAGTCAAAAAGACTTGGGTCATGCCCTCCTTTCAAATTACACAGCTACTTTTCCTGGAACATATTGGCTGTCTGAATCAGGAAGACTTGGTCAATTGATGACTCTAAATGTCATTAAAGTTGTTTTGTTCTGTGACTAGGGTTTTAATCAGCTCATAGTAGTGACTTATCTAGATATTTTCTATGATATTTAGCATATTGATTTTTTATTTATTGTTTATTTTCTATACATTGAATTGTTTTCAGAGACACCCTAAATATCCTTTTGATTACATTATCTTTTTTAAAATATTTTTCACATTAGACCAATATTTCTCAACCTTTTTCTTCATTATCACCCTAAGGAACCTTTTTAGGTATTTTTTTCCTAATTACCCCCCCCCTTATGAAATTTTAATTCCACAGCTAAGACTGTATCTTTATATGTTGTATGTGTATCTGTGTTTTATCCTTAATAAGGGTGAGATTCTCTCTCTCCTTTGTCCAAAGAACCAGTTTTTATCTCCTTGAAGTCAGCTATCATCCCTGTCAAGGTGTACATTAGACCTTTTAGACATGATTTGATTGTATAGATAATGGTTCAGAGCTTGGGCTATAGTTGGATAACTCTGAGAGTGAATTCTGGCTGCTCCATTAATTAGCTGTGTGAAATTTTGTCAGTTTCTTAAGCTTTCTAAACCTGCTTTGTCTCATCTGTAAAATGGGAATACTAATGTTGTCTTCCTAAGGATTAAATAACAATTAAATGAGGTAGTTAATGCAATATGTTTAGCACATATTAATTGTTAAATATATATTAGCTCTCATTTTATTATATTATGACCTCAGTATCCATTCTGTTTCATTTGAACCTAAGACTTGAAATATCTAGCAGCTCTCTTTTCTCATTTTTTAAAAAGATTTTATTTATTTATTTGAGAGAGAAAAAGCAGGAGTAGGGGTAGGGGCAGAGGGAGAGGGAGAAGCAGGCTCCTCACTGAGCAGGGAGCCCAACCCAGGGCTCAATCCCAGGACCCCTAGATCATGACCTGAGCTGAAGGCAGACGTTTAACTTACTGAGCCACCCAGAGTCCCTCTTTTCTCATTTTTAATACTGACTGCCTTTGGAAGGAAAAATGTAAACTCGAGAGGTAACATGAGATAAAATACCTATAGTTCTTCACAGCTCCTAAAAAGCTAATTGAGAAGAAAATTTCTTAGTATGTGTATAACTATATGTAAACTATTATAATGCATTTACATGGTGTCTTGAACCATAGATTATTATTTTATTAAATAATTCTGGATTCTCTTTTTAGATATTTGATTTAATGGATGCCAAAGCACGTGCTGATTGTATCAAAGAAATAGATCTCCTTAAGGTAAATAAATGAACTGTTGACTATTTTGAATATAGATGAGCGTGTTGATAAAAGTGATCTATGAAAATATTACACTTACAAGCAAAAAGATTTTTAAAACATATGTCACACTGGTTTTAAGCAACATTATACAAATATGTATCTCAGTATATGGAAGAATGTAGTTATTTTTTGAATTCATTGTAAAATAATTTAATCAGATCATTTGGTAGGGTTAGCTCCCCTCCCCTGCCTTTCAAACTAGGAGACAGATAAAATTGGCAAAGAACATTGAAGAAATTTTTTCTTGACTGTCCCAATTAGACATATTCTAAAGCTTAAGTAACATAAATGAATATTAGTGTTATCTCAAGATGTAATATATTGAGAATATGGACTGATCTAAATGGGCACATGCTTTTTACAATATTTCTGTATATTTTTTCCAGATTTAGAAAGTCTGATGTAAAGAGTATGTCAGAATTAGCTTTTCAGTTTTTCATCCACTCAAAGAATATGACTGAAATTTCAGTTATCTCTGCACTGCTTTTATTCTAGTAAAATTTCCTTTGAGGAGTGCTGTAGCTTATGTTATATTTTTAACCGTTAGATAAGACTTAGATGTTTTATATGCCATACATTTTTGTGCCTAAAATGAATCCAATTTATCAAAAAAGATAAGAGTAAGATCAAAGTGAACCATGCTTTCCGTCTGTTCTGTTAGTTGTAGTTATTTTCTGGGCCATGAAGTAACTGCTTTAAAAATATATATAAATAGTTATTAGAGAAATAATATATTATCATAGAAGATGTGGAAGAAAAACCTGTAAGTAGAAAGAAAAGAAGAAAATCATGTATATACCCTGTGGGAGAATTCTTGAATAATTTTCTTTGAGAAACTATTTGTCTTATGTTAACTTGTTTAAAGATTGAACAGAAAGCAAATTGTACAAAAGGATTGTCAGTGTGTAGAGACTGATGCATATATTTCTATAAGGTGAAATTTTTCTTAGGATCACTTAACGCATCAACCCCATAGGTAAACTCAGTATGTTTTATAATATTTGATGTAAAAGCTATGTTTAGATAGAATATATTAGATGTCCTTTTATTTTGTTTTGTTTTTAAACCACTGGCTGCAGTTATATGAAGATCAGGCCAACTTCAAAATAGGAGTAAAAGGAATACTTTATTTACCATTGAGTGCCCTTAATGACAGTTCCCGTTTTGAAGGATATAATTTTTAGCAATTGGTGCTGTAATTCTGCCAGTCATTTATGTTAATATATTTATTGGACATAGCAATACATACTTTAAAAAATTTTAAGTGTGTAATTTACTCTCTTTCTAATAGAGAGTATTAAAATAAAATTAATTGGTATCTGGTATTTCAATACTTGTTTTAAAATTCACTAAAGAAGAATACACTGTCATGTTAAGATTTCTGTAACTTAAAAATGAAACGCAGTAACTAAGTTTATTTTTAAGTTAAGAAACTATAAGTGATTCCTGGGAATTTACAATAAGAAAACTTTCTGGTGTCTGTTTTTGTGTGTGTATGTGTGTGTGTGTGTGTGTGTGTGTGTGTGTGTTTTTCCATCAGCAACTCAATCATCCAAATGTAATTAAATATTATGCATCATTCATTGAAGATAATGAACTTAACATAGTTTTGGAATTAGCTGATGCTGGTGATCTGTCCAGAATGATAAAGGTAAGGTTTTGTTTTGCTTTTTTTAAACTAAGTATTTATTTTTTTCTGATAGAATTGCTCTTTAAACATACAGGTATATTAGATATTTTAAAGACCTCGGTGAAATGCTTTAAAATATGGTAAATATGTAATGAATGATAGATAGTAGTGATAATTATTATTATGAAGCTGGTTTACCTGGTAAAGCTCACTCTGCTCAGCTGAGATGTGTGGACACTCTGAAACCAACTTGGAAATAGACCAACAGATTTGTCTTCTATAAGCTGAAGTTCAAATTTTGCAACTTGATTTTTCTGAGCAGACCACCCTTGATCCTGTATCTCTGGACATCATGCAGAGGGGGACAGAAAGAGATTCTAGAGAATCCTGACCTGTTCCTGGGAGGGATTCATCAAAGAGTAAAATGGGCTTTGCATTCAGACCTTGCACATCAAACGCTAATTCAACCACTTTAAAGTTTATTTAACTTTCTTTTCCAACAGCATATTAATTGGGTTTCAGTTCAGCTACAAGTTATAGAAACCCCCAAATTAGAGTGTTCTAAAAACTGCTTGTCCTTAGGCACGTTACTTCTGTGTATGACAGTTTCTCAAAAACAAAATAATAATAGAACCTACTTCATAGGATTGTTGTAAATGATTAATTATTTGACATTTATTAAGACCTAAGACCTGTCTCACACATAATAAGGCTATACAAATGGAAGCTACTGATGTATTATTATTGTTATTAATTATATTTCTCTGTTACATAAAATTCTGGAGCTGATAAGGCAGCTCTGATCTATCAAATTCTCAGAAACCAAGCCTATTTGCAGTTGATCAAGTCACCTCTCTGAGGCAGGAAGGGACACAGGGCACTTGGTGGCTGTATCTTGAGGCACGTTCCTGGATACTGCCACACAACATTCTTAGCTTCATCACTTTGGCCAGAATTTAGTCTTATGAACATGTGTAGCTGCAAGGGAGGCTGGAATATATAGTCTTCATTTGGCTGGTCATGTGCCAGCTGAACTTCTGATACTCAGGAAAACATGTTGAACAGGGTGGAAATCAGTGAAGACCAACTAAATGAGAAAAGCAAGGCTCTTTACTCTGAGCTTGCTATAGCAAGGGAGTCAAGCATTGTCATTAACATTTTGACAGAGATTCACAGGCAGGCAGAGGAATAGGAAATCTTTATAATGGGAAAAATAAGCCTTTAGGTATGACCTGATTAGAGGCTGTTGGCACAAAGAAGCTTTACATGAGCTACTTAGAAGTGGGGCATCTCACCTGGCTTTTTCTGATTGGTCCTAAGTTGGAAGCAGGGACAGAAATTAGGGAAGCTGTCAGGTATTCATCAAGTCCTGGGCATTTGGGGCTGATTGCTACAGAGTTATTGCTTAGCTTCTTAGATTGTCGCTAGAGACAGCAATCTGGCTTCCTGCACACCAGACATAGTGGGCTGGCGTCCTGGGTTGTTTGTTATGGACAAAAGTTTGGTTTTCTGGTCAGGTTGCTGAAGGTTGTGGATCAAAGTTCTGTTTTTATATGATCTGGGCATTGTCTGTAAATTCAGTCTCAACAGATACAGGAGCACAACTAGTAATCTCTGCTACATGGAGTTATTGTAAGGCGTTCTTAAAAACAACGTTAGATGCTTTATATACATTACCTTATTTACTGTTTAAAAGGATTCTGGGGCTAAATTTGACCCTTAGAGAAGATAACCATCATTACTAGTAAATAGAAGAACTGATGTTTGAAATTAGGGTTTAGCTGATGCAAAATTTCATGTGTTTTCCTTTAGTGGCACTTAAAGATTTTTATATCGCAGAACTCCTTTGAAAAGTCAGATGAAAACCCTTGACCTTCTCCCGAAAGAGATGTTGGTGCATGCACAGCACACTTTGTCTTCCATCACTAAGCCTTCACAGATTTTCTGATCAAGGTGCTCACTGGTTCTCTGGCAGTAGCTAGGAACCCTGCTCTCTGGTGCGAGCATGGTGTCAGCCGGGGAGCTCTCCTGCCACTTAACTTCTCTTAGGCTTAGTTGCCTCATCCATAAGATGGAGGCAGTTTTGAGATTGCTTGCTAAATTATAAAAATACTACATGACAGGGAGGTAATATTTTTATTATCACAGAATGCTATCGAGCTGACTCTGTTTAAAGTCCCATGGTGAGAGTGACTCACTTCTAATCCATTATCTGATTGTCTGTTTTAGGGACTTCCCAACACTAGTACCGTCTTTGCAAATTAATGAACACTAAAAAAATAATAATAATAAAAAAATTTGTGGTTTTAGTTTTAAAAAGAAATGCAAACACACAAATGCAAAATTTATAAAATAACCATCAAGATGAGACATATAAAAGCAAATGTAAATCGTCCTTATAAGAGAGACAACTGATATAGAATTTTTGGCTTAAACTTTAAGTGCAGGAGTTGTTTAAATACTTATAGTAGGAAGCAAAGAAAGCAAATCTTCATTGGGCAAATACCAGATGAAGGCAGATAAAAAACAAACAGTTTCAGTTATCAAGTCTTGCCCCTGATTGAGAGATTGATGATTTGGGGTTTTGATTCTCTTCCAGAGTTTTTTGCTCTTTTCCAGTCTAGACTTCTTTCTTTGCTACTGTTCCTCCACACCTAGACATTGCGGGCCCTAGCCCATTGCCAAAGCATGCCTGAGCCCATGACATTTGCCTTGGAAGAATACTCCTGTCCTTTCATCACTTGAGAGAACTAGGCAAGATCAGAGTGCTTTATAGAAGAAGCCCTGTGATCTGCATCTTTAGCAGATTCAGATTTCTTAGACCAGTGAGGGAGGAAAAATTTGTCTATGTTTTTATATTTATTGTGGTGATGAACTCAGCTCCCTTATTTAAATGGCTCTTGCCATCAGTTGACATTTTCAAGGAATTTTTTTTACCAGCTGACCCAGTGGATATAGTAAGATCCATTCAGAACAACAGATTCTGTCTTTGGTAATGAATATTATTAGTTATAGATTGATAACTATACTCTCAAAGTATCCTTAGGGCTTCTGACTAAAATTTGAAGGTATCTGTCATGTAAAAGATTACTTAGGAAACTTTTTTAAAAAAATAAAAGATATCAAGTGATTACTAGTAAATTATATGTTTATAGAGCAATTTATTTTACTTAGATAGAACTGAAATAGTTCTTTAGAGAATTGGTAATATCATTCTTCCTTCCTATCTAATAGACATTATTGTATAAGCCTTTAATGATCCTATCCTTTATTGTAGGTACCCTTAGTCAACCTCATCAAGATATACAAGATTCTGGGTCAGATTTCCCAGATCCTCTTGGAGCCCTCCTAAAGGTGGAAAGTTATATTGTCAAACTTATAGATCTTAGAATAGTCTCAGCATAATGGCCATAACAGAAAGTTATTCCAGTGTCCATAAAAGAAAGTTTGACTAAGAAATTTCACATGAGTAGACTGTTTTTATATCTGGTTATATTTATGTATGTCTTTAGGATAGATAGGGAAGGACAATGAGGAGAGAGGGGTGTTACTGTTTTAGGTAAGGGGTGAAAGAAGACCTCCTGACTTAAGTCTTGCACCCCCATCTGCCTTTTCCTTCTTACCGCCCTGGTTCTGTTCTTTCTTTGCAGACACTCACTCCTGACCCTGTTCCCAACACCACAAGAAATGGCTCTTGAATGACCTCTGTCATTAAATCCAGGGGACTTCATCCAGTGCTCACTCCATTTGATCTCTCAGCTGCGTTCGGCTCTGCTTTTCATACCCTCCTCCTTAAAATACTCCTCCACTGGCTTGTTGAGTCCCATCGTGCCTTGTTTCCTTCCTGCCTTTCCGGACACTCTGATTCTTCTTAACAGAGTCATTCTCTTGTCTTAGCCCTTCATGATGGAGTTTTTAAAAGTTGTGGTCCTGGCTTTTTTTTTTTTTTTCGTTTTTGCTTTATACTCTCTTTGTAGTTGGTGTCATTCATGCCCGTGGATTCAGTTACTTTCAGTGTGCTTGTTTTCTAATGTTTTATCTTTAGTCTGGAGCTGTCTTCTAATTCTGAATTCATGTTAGCTCAACACCTCTGTAAAGAAACTCATTATCTTCCCCAGACTACTCTCCTCCCACATTTCCTAACTCAGAGTTCAGCACCTGTCTGCCCAGTCGTGCACGCTGGAGCCCAGGACTCTTCTTTGACACTTCTCTCTCCTTACCTCCCACTTCAGTCTGTCACCAAGTTCAGTTTATTTTTCTCTTAAATGACTTTCAAATATTCCACCGAGCTCTGTTTCCATTTCTCTCCCTGTAATGTGAAGTACCATCATCTCTCACCTGGAGAACGGGAGCTTTTAAACTAATCTTCCAGCGTCTGTTTCTCCATCAGTCTTTTTTTTTTTTTTTTTAAGTATTTTATCTTTATTTTTTTTTTAAAGATTTTATTTATTTATTTGAGAGAGAGAGAGAAACAGCATGAGAGGGGAGAAGGTCAGAGGGAGAAGCAGGCTCCCCGCTGAGCCGGGAGCCTGATGTGGGACTCGATCCCAGAACTCCGGGATCATGACCTGAGCCGAAGGCAGTCGCTTAACCAACTGAGCCACCCAGGCGCCCTCCATCAGTCTTTTTAAGAGAGGTGAGAAAGGAGGGGAAAAAAAAAAAAAGAAAAGAGAAACCTCTTTTTAAATCCTTCTTGAGTTTCCTGTTGATGGTAAAGATGTTTGTCTAGATTTACTAAACCTATGTGATCCAGAATATAAGTTCTCAGAGGGAGAGATCTTAGTTTGTTTTGTGACCTCACAAATCCCTAGTGCTTAGGACAGTGGGCCGCACAGAGTAGACGCTCAACAGATATCTGCTGTAGAAGGTGTAGACACCTTCAGTTCCTAGGGAGGTGCCTGGCTCATAGTAGTAGCTCTATTAATAAACAAGTGGTCAATGAGTGCATAAAAGGTGATTATCTCCTTCCCTCCTTCCTACCTGCCTCCCTCCCTCCCTCCCTCCCTCCCTTCCTTCCTTCC